GTGTCTACGCAAGAAAGTCAATGTCAACATCTTTCGGGAGGAACAGAGCACTGTTTCCATAAAGTGTTGAAAAACAACACTTTTGACCACGTCTCTAAAAGGAAAAAAACTAGAATGAAGTCATATGATTTATAGTGAGCTCACCAGTGAGGTATGCAGAGGACCAGGCTGCTGCCTGAGGAAGAGCAGGATTCTTATCACCGCAGAAGGTGAAGAGTCGGCCTGAAAAAGTTCCTTTAAGACTTTACAGCTCACACCTTGACCCAGCGTTCCCAGACTCCTGCTCACATTTAATACAAACCAGCAACACATTTAAAAGAGACTGGGAAAAGAAAATATTAAGAAATTAGCCCATTAATCACAGGAATGAATTTACTTACAGAAAATGTTGGTGGATTAGGTTTGGTTTAGTATCAAGTGCCTCTCTGAAAATAGCTTTAGCCTGGAGGAGATAATAGACACATGTTGTGTTACGTAACTGTTGTAACATGACATTTTGTGCATTTTGTGAGCCAAGCGCAATCTGATATTAGAACAGTTTTTGACTGTGTTGTTTGTTTTCACAGTCAGCTCCATTCATAGTGTCAGTGCTGATGACGCCTTTGCTTTTGCTTCTCCACTGAATAATTAAGCTGCTAATCAAGACACTGTCATAAACACTTACTCATGACAGGCAGAGGAAGTACGAAGAGATCATAACACACAGTAAAAGTCAAGGTTGGAGGCTTTCGTCTGTTCAAACACTGTGAAAATGTTTGTGCACCAGAGATATTTAAATATATATAAATGAAATGTCTATAAAATATTTGTACGTATTGAGTTTATGTATTAATCTGTATATATGAGCTTTTTATTTTTTGTAAACACGCAAAATGTAAGTGTGGACTTCCTGATTCCTGAGGTCAATAGCTAAATCTAACACACAAATATTTCTGCATTCATCATGTTTCCAAATGTATTTCTACTTTTTTAGCTTATGAACCTTTAATTTTTTTCATGAGGCATAAAGCAATACAGAAAAAAATACCATGGCATTTCCATGTTATTGTGATGTGTTACCTGCTGAGTGTTAAAGGGTTTCGTGGTTATATTGGCGATGTTGTTCACAAGCAGATGAGTCCTGGGCAGGACGCTGAGCAGAGGCGTGCAATAGAACAAAGGCTCCACATCATCCAACCAGCTGACAACCTCTGGAAAACCCTGGTTAGAAAAGAGGCATGAGAACACATACGATAACAATAGATCACAACTTTTTAAGTCCTTGAATTAAAACTTCACAATTAAATAGAAATTCTACCGAGACTAAATGAAAAGTTTTGTTGTTTTACTTGAATTAAACCAAGTTGAAATAAAAGAATAAATAAGTGAATTTACAACAGTGACAAGATATTTGATTCTTAATAACATTATAATGTTTCCAAGATTCTATTCAACTCAACTCAGTGATGTTTTTTGTTTTTTTCTTTAACTAACATCATCAAACTTTCTTTAGTAAATTAAGTCCTGTACCCATAGTTTGGTGGAGATTAAATTGGCCACAGTCGGGCTGAGGTCTGGTGTTTGCTGGGCCATGGCGGGCAGTGATGACAGCAGCATGTTGGAGGTGAGGGTCAACAAGGTCTCTGTCTTCATTCCCACGATGAGGGAGCCGAGCTCCTGCAGCCGACCAGGAGCGGTCATCTGGGCAGAGAGGAGAACAGAGTAAGAGTCGTGGCTTTAACCAATGCAGAGTGAACAAATTCATGTTGTGAAGGTGTTTACAAAAGAACTCACTGTGGTACTCGAGGTCAGTTTGTCTACAATTACTGAAGCCTGAAAAACAAACAGAAAGACAGCAACTGAAGGACGGACAACCTGAAAACATAATGGTTTTTGACCACTGCCGGCACAGAGGGATAAAAACAAATTATGATTTGAAAGATGATTTTAACAATTTCCTGGTATGTCATATACCAGCTCTGTATCATGTTTCTATTAAGTGATGCTATCTTTACCATTACTTCATTGAATGGAATATAAAATAACGTTTTTTGGGCTTGAATATCTTTGTCATGATGGAGCTGTCAAACTATATTGAAGAAAATAATCCTCTTGAGATTTCTTATAAAATACAAAAGCAAGACGACAGCTGTGAGGCTGAGGAGGAAAAAGCTCCGGTTCGGATGAATGCTGATGGTGCAGTAGAGATCAGGTCTTTGCTCATGAGCCACCTCACCTCAGGGGTCCCTGTGCTGAGGACCCACTGCCTGTCAGCTGCTCCTCCGGAGCTACGAGCTCCACCAGCTGCTAGAAGACCCGTCTTTAACAAATAAAGGTCTGTGTAGTGAAAGGGACTGAGGAAACCCCCACTCTCTGATACCTGATGTTCACTTTGTTCAAAAGAGTCTATAGATGATCTTTCACTCTACATAACACGCCCCTCTACCTGTGCAGGGCTGAATGAAGCAGAGCTGAGGGCAGGGAGGACAGCGAGCAGCTGTGGTGGAGTGAGAGCCTGCAGGAAAGTCACACCCAACAAGGGCGTAAGGTGGGCGACCTCTGCCAGTCGATCTGCGCTGAGCGAGGAGGGGACATTGAATTCTGTGCTGCTCAGCAACAAACTGGAAATCTGCACAGAGACAGAATATATGTGTAATATTATAATACTGAATATCATCAATACAGCTCAATTGCAACTGAAGCATGAATATTAAAAACAGCACAGCAAGCACGTGTGAGCTGTTGGTACCAGATGGTTGGGTAGACTGAGTCCCTCACGAGTGCAGTTCATGACAAAGTGCTGGATGACACTGAAGGCCTCAGTGCCTCTGTACAACAGCAGGTCTTCTGGTTCTGCCAGGCATGACAGTTTACCCAGCCTAAAACACACAAACCGTTTCAACATCACACACGGGAGCAGACGTCTCCTCTCAGGAAGTGATATCGACATTATTTAAAACACAAAATGTTAATCTTTCATTCTGCACAGCATGTCTGTAGAGGTATCGCCTTATGATTCTGACAGTGTATTGCACTTAGAAATGGCTGTGTATCCTTATGACATTTAATTATTTGGTCTGCAAAAGCAAAAGACAAAGTTGTGTTATCATTACAATAGTTTATATAGTTATATATTATCATATTGCTATGTTTCAGCTGGTTCTGTCATTTAAAGGTGTATTTGTTTTCATTTTTAAAAATAAGACTTTATTTCTGACTGTTATTTCTGTGTGTTATAATTTTCCTTATGGTTATTTACCCTTAAAATGTTTGATTTCATTTTTAATTTTAACATTAAAACATTTAACACTACTGGCCATGAGACGGTTTGTTTGTAAGATTTCAGCTGGGTAATCTTGTTTAAGATTCCCATAATAACAAGAGGTCAAGAGTTTTGTTAACACAAATACTGAATATTACATGTATATCAATAGCGATCCACTGTGTTACTGACCTGCAGGCAAACGATGAGTGGTAACAAAGGTCAAAATTACTCTACACACTAAACTAAACATTGAAGTGTTGATATTCTTCTGATCTAATGTCTGATAAACATTTTATGTGGATAGAAAGAGTATTTATTGTGAACCTGATGAAATCCTGAGCTGTCAGGTTTCTGTAGGTGCTGACGAGGCTCTGAGCGATGAACTTCTGCTTCAGAGCAGTGAGGTTGTTTTTCTGCAACACATCCAGCCCGTCCACCAGCTGAGGATAAACATCACACACACACGTTTGTCTCAACGTTTTAAAGAATCTATATACAGTAACAATGACAAGGAAACAGACTAAGTGACCTTACTATGAGAAAACCTGACAAAACTCATTTAAATGAATGGTTCAACATCTTCATTTATTTGTCATGGGTCAAATGGAACGATTTAAGCTGCAATCCTATGAACTCACTAAAGCTAATTCATAGTTTGTTCATCAAATTAATGCAAACATGTAAAGAATGACTTGTTTTGCTGGATTAGTTAAGCTAAGTTAATTCTATGTAGCTTCATATTCACTGGACAGAACTGAGTGTGTTATCGATCTTCTCGTTATACTCTTTGTTAGCGATTCAATTAAAGTATTTCCAAAAATACCAATAACCCTTCTTTTAATTCCTTTGAGTGAAAGGTCAGAGACCATCTATTTTCTGGTCATGTGTCCTCATC